TCAGGAGGAAGAGGTGCAACAGCATCTGTCTGGAGAGTTCGTGGCTGTTTCGGACCCTGATACTGTTCGTCTTTGAGTCTCTGACCAGCCCGCCCCATATCAGAAATCTGGTTTGTAGCTGTAGCTAATTTCTCTTCACAAGCTGTCAGGTGCTCCTGTGATGTCTGATATTTACTTTGTAAAATCAGCCATCGTCGGAGCATCCCCGCCTTGTCTGCCTTGCAATCGTCCAGCTCCTTTAATGCGATCTGTAACTGTGCTTGTAGCACATCGTTATCTGAACGCACGGATTGGTACGCACGGTCTTTATCCCTAATCCTCCCCTCATATGATTGAGCCTGTTTTAACAGTTCAGTCTTTGAGAGGTCCCTTGCTTCCGATAGTGATGCTTCAAGTACTTGTAGTTTGCTGTTCAGCAAATCAATTTCTGCACTTGTATTTTGCTGTTCTTGAGACATCTGTTCATGATGTTTTCTTATGCGGGCCTCGTGTTCACTTTTAAATTGACGGACGTATTCTTCAATTTCCTGAGCAAACACTATTTCACTGTCTAACCTTTGTTTGAGGTTATCAGTTTTCTCAACAGCCTTATAGAATGATTCTTTCAGCAAAATTGCAATTTTAGCCAGCTTTTCATAACTTGACTTTGTGATTTCTGTAGAGGTCACACTTTCTGCAACCTCCTTCAGATTGTCCGCTAACTCTTTTGGGTTCATGCTCTCTGTCTGGATCATATATGGATGTAAGGACGCTGCCAGGAGCGCTAATGCGTTCTCCAGGCAGTCCGCCATCCCTTTTAGGTCAAAGTCTTTTTCTAACACACCTGTCATGTTTTTCACTGTGTAGCAATTTATCTGTTTGAACAGTTGCAAGCTTTAGATATTTTACAGGTAAATATTTATATTCAAGTCATTGAGTGTTCACACTCTTTTAGCTTTTTGGGTTTACACAGAAGTACTGTTATAAGTCAACTTATTCAACTGTGGGTACCTTTCTCAGGTTTTACCCAAATTCATGAATATTTAAGTAAATGCTCTTCTGGCAGTGTTACTTTTTGTGCTTATTTTTCAACAGATACTAAGTTACCAAACGCTTTTTAGTGTATTTTACTCTGAAGCACTGAATTTTTTATAAACCTGCAATTTTCTAAAAAAGTCTCACAGCAAATCAGTTTAAAACGTTTTTTAAACCGTTCTGTTCCAGAAATTTGCTATTTTAACAGTTGCTCATATAACTAAGTTGTGAAAAGAAGAAGAAAAGTTGATGATGTATCAGGATTAATCAGTCCTTCCTTCAGAAAAACTGTATTTACTCCTGTCCTCCTGTAAAGCTTCTATTTAAAATTAAATAGGAAGATTTATTTTTTTAGGTGGCAACTTAAACAGAAAAATCTCTTTTTCCTGATAAGTTTACTCTTATTTAGTGATTTTGCAATTAAACGTGTATTATCTTTCAAGCAAAATGAGTAAACTTTTCAACTCTGTGAATATTTGAACCGTTTCTATTTTTTTTTTTTTAAAAAGTTCCTAACTTTATTTTGTACCTATTTAACAGTGAATAAAGTCTCTTTGGTAAATGCTCTTTGCATAAATACCTTTACTTTTTAAAATGCAAGATAACAGTGTTTATTCAGCTTTGAGGAAGTTTATTAACTCAAAAATGCCTTTTAGAAGAAATAAAACGTTTAATTTCACTATTTAAGCCTAAAAATGAAGTGAAACCTGTCTTCTCAAGTTTCGCCAGGAGATGTCAGTATTACCTCAACAATTTTAACTCCGACACTGTTTGTGTTATCCACTAGGGGTCGCTATGACTTCCTGTGGCGTTCGGTTGACATCCTGTTGTTAGCCGCTTAGCTTAAAGTTAGCTTCGGCTAAACTCGGTTAAAATCAACATTTCTGAACGGATTTTTTACACAAACGTGGCAAAAGTTTTTGCAATCAGACTTTATAGCTTGAAACATGAGTTTTTGGGACAATATTGCAGCTTTATTTAGTGATTTTAAGCGTAGCTAAGGCTCCGGTCGTTAGCTGTTTAGCTTAAAATTAGCATCGCTAGCGTTGTTTAAAAACATCATTTAATGACGAATTTTAAACTCTAACGTGGCAAAATTTCAGCGAATATGCTTCGAAGCGCTTAGCCAGCGTATCAAGATCACTTTTAAAGGCGCTTTTCAGCTTTAAAAAGCAGATTTTATTTCCCTATGAAAACGAATTTCATTTCCGGGTCACGTGACTGAAATCACCAATGGCAAAGCAGCGCAGGGTTGAGAGGGGATGACGTAGCCACGTCAGTCAACCTTCTCAGCAAATCAGAGCGCTCCACCCAGCAATATTCAACCAATCAAGAAGCGTTTTCTCCAACTAGCAAGTTAGATTAGCGTGAAATAGTTCGTCAACTTTTTCGTCTTTTAAACTGTCAAAATGCACTTTTCTGTTAAAAATTGTAACGAATCAACTCCTTGAGCTGCACGGAGACGGTGCTCCGTGACAAAACGTCTTTCTAGCTATTTAAAACAACTCGTTGGAACTTTTCCAGAACCGAGTCGGAACCAGAACCGAACCGGACCAGAACAGCGTCTGGAACACAGTTTAAACAGAATAAAGCGTTTCTCACAGCTCATCAGCTTTTAGTTAACATAACAGGCGTACAATGTCAGCTTTATAAAGACTCAATGACACAATTTCAGCTTTTAAAACATTACTAGCCCAACGCTTAGAACATGCAGCGTTTGCTTGAAAGGCGCAGCTCCAGCTGCGGTTCAGCACAGCTGACAAACTGTTACTTTTCAACATACATGCCAACACGTAAAAAATCAATCTTTACACGAATTAACAGTCATTTATGAGAGTTACGGGCCACCAGTATGTAGTGGTCACGTGCGTACGTGCCACTAGTTGTAGTATGACAATATATGAGATATATACGCATACTTTTTCACGAGTTCCTCATCTTTCTGACTGTGTAATGTCGTGCCTTGAATTTAACAGAAATGTAACGAGAGACGTCATTTATCTTTGACCCATCAAATGAATGCGGTCATTTATTTTCAGAATCAAAGTTTAACATCAAACATTTACATTAATTTGGCAAAATATGAAAATAATAACAGACAAGTTTCACAGAAAATGAGCTTCGAATCACTCGGCGGTGATCGAGGACTTTGCTTCAGATATTCCTAAGATATCTGTACTGATTTTAGAAGAGAGAGAAGAGTTTAAGATGAAATGGAGATTTATCTTACAGAGAAATATGTGAGGGAATTAATCTGTTTGACCAGAAATTGCACGCTCCATCAGATATCAGCTTGCCCACGGTACACTTGGTCGAAAATAGAACCATCTACCTTGATGATATTATCAGCGTCGGAGCCGGTTCCCTTCTGACTCTTTTCAGTGTCTCCGTTGAGAACAGCTAAAATCCTTCGAGAGTCGTGCGTGGTTTGTTCAAACAGACGTCATAATTCCAAGACGTCTCTGGATCATCCTGAATGCGTTTGCACCCAAGAATTCTGAACTCCTTTCATTCTTCAGAACTTCTCAAACTCTTAATTGTCAGCAACTCTGTAGTTCTTCATCTCTGGAATTCTCCGGAATTCTACAGAATTTTTCTTCCATTCTCCTCCATTCTCTTCTGAATTCTAACATGAACTGGGAAGTTGCCACATTTTAAATGGGTCGACTTCCGGTTCAATTTAGAGCTTTCTGATTCGTGGATGTACCAGAAAGAGGTGTGTTTTTGTGACGTAAGATGTTATCTAAGCCAAGGTCAGAGAATGAGATTGTTCAACAACTGACAGAGAGATTATTGCAGAAAAGCAGACTTCGTGGAGTCAAACTTCTTCTGTATCTTCTGTAAAGATTAAACATGACATTTCTTTTTCAGTAAACATTTAGTTGACCGAAGCTTCAACTTTCACATACTTACGTTGCTTGGCTCATTTCAGACAGAAAATCAAGAAATGCATATTAACCTGATTTCTTCTTTGAATGAGGAATAAAAATCATTACTTACTGTTTATGTAAAATAAAAATGAGTAGTTCTTTCCAACCTGTAAGCATTGAATGGAACTAACACAATTTGATTATCAAACATTTGTAAACAGTAATGATTATAGAGAATTGTCTTTTCTGCTTGATTAATTCAAGAAAGAAAGTCACCAGATGGCTCAGACTGTATTCAGATCAATGAAAATAACAGTCTCTGTCCATCTGATAGATTTGAGGTCATCAGGGTCAGATCAGGGTCAGATCAGGTTCACTACATACAGATGTTTGACTTAACCTCTGTATTTACCTTTGATATCTTAAAAAGGTGCTAAGTCTTTCATTGTTTCTGAACAAAAAGACAGTGACAAAAAAGCTCTATTTAATAGCTTTAAATAAAAACAAATACGATCAAAAATAGCAATAAAATGTACAGAATAAAATAATATTCAGCTCAAGCATAAACTAAGATGAAAATCTCTACCAGGCAACTAATTTAGACCAACATATACAGCAGTAAGAGCAATAAAAGCAATAATAATACTATATATTATTGGGTTTTATATTGATCTATTATTATTATTGCAGGTTTTTGGAGTTTATTCTAAGATTAATGTGTCCTACATTTGCGTGCAAACATATAAAAAGTCTTGCTAACAAGGTTTTCACTAGCGAGAATAATGGAGCATTCTGTGATGTCAAATCAAATAGTCAGAATAAACCTTCTGTAGAACATATGAAAACTGAAGTTTTTAAATACCATCAGCTTTGACTACTTTTTGTAAAAGATAAAATTAGTCCAAATCATTCACAAAAAAAAGTGCATTTATAAAACTGTGCTCCTGATCCAGTAAACACATTTTTACCCCCCCTTACATCATCGATTGTTATAATTTAATGCTTGTTCTATGAGTCTTATGTTATTAAATTTATAACTTCAGAGAACAGCTTGTAAGTTGGGTTTTCTTAATTCAAATGAATTGAACAGTCTTTTTGTCGCCTTTCTGTTTTTAGGGAATATTTTTGTCGTCAGCCTGGCAGTAGCAGACCTTGTGGTGGCCATCTACCCGTACCCCTTGGTCCTCACCTCAATCTTCCACAATGGCTGGAACCTGGGCTACGCCCATTGCCAAATCAGTGGCTTCCTCATGGGCGTCAGTGTCATCGGCTCCATCTTCAACATCACTGGCATTGCCATAAATAGATACTGCTACATCTGTCACAGCCTCAAATATGACAAACTGTATAGTGACAAAAACTCTGTCTGCTATGTGTTGTTGATATGGGCGCTGACTGTGGTGGCCATCGTGCCCAATCTATTCGTGGGTTCCCTTCAGTACGACCCACGAGTTTACTCCTGCACTTTTGAGCAGTCGGCCAGCTCGGCGTACACAATTGCTGTTGTGTTTTTTCATTTCATTTTACCCATCATGATTGTCACCTACTGTTACCTGCGGATATGGATTTTGGTCATTCAGGTAAGAAGAAGAGTCAAGCCAGACAATCGACCCAAGCTGACGCCACACGACGTTAGAAACTTTGTCACAATGTTTGTGGTGTTTGTGCTTTTTGCTGTTTGCTGGGCGCCACTCAACTTCATTGGCCTGGCTGTAGCAATCAAACCAGAGGTAGTGGTTCCCCTCATCCCAGAGTGGTTATTTGTAGCCAGCTACTTCATGGCCTACTTCAACAGCTGCCTTAATGCCATCGTGTATGGTGTGCTGAACCAGAACTTCCGACGTGAGTACAAGCGCATCGTGGTGTCGGTATGTACAGCTCGTATCTTCTTCCAGGACAGCTCCAATGATGCAGGGGAGAGGCTCAAAAGTAAACCATCACCACTCATGACCAACAATAACCAGGTCAAGGTGGACTCTGTCTGAGGCTGAAATCAGAGACATGTATGCAGTTTTTGAGGATTACCCTTTTTTTTAATGACATTACCAAAAAAAAACAAATACAAATATAAGCAGCTTCTGTCCTCTGAGCTGTCTAGACTGTCGTACTGTACGGTGCTATCTGACTTCTGAACAACCAGAAAGAAAAAAAAAAACATGATTATAATCCTCGTCTTTATCAAGCACTTTGTTTGACTCAGCAGTACATGTAGTAAAGTGAATATAAATTGTCTGTTTTGTTTTAATATTTACAGTGATGATATAAATGTATCATGCATTATGTAAGTATATTTTTTGTATAATATGCCACATACACACACACCCAAGTACTATGCAAAAGTCATCCCTCTTTACAGTTTATTTCCAAGAAACCAGACTGATCAGTTTTTAGCAATATTTGTTTAATCTTTATGAAGGTATTTTTTCATAATTTGGCTTTTATTTATTCATTTCTTGTTAAGTACTCGACTGTTTTTAGAGGAATTTGCTGTTAAAGCCATGTCAATCAAGCCTATGAATCACTCTTGTACTCAACAGTTTAAACAGTGTTGTCAAAACAAATTAGAAAAATACCATTTTTAATTGGACTTTCAGACACATTGTAATGAGCAGCACTTTATAACCGTTTACTCAAATTTATTTCGATAAATCTAATGGAAAAATAACACAGTTGGACATAAAATATTGAAGCGTCAATGAGGCGATACACAAACAGGGGAAGTGATGGCGCAGAGGTTAAAGAAGGTGAGCCTGTGATCTAGAGGGCAAAAAAAGCCAGGACGTATAAGAATTATGACAAAGAAAATCTATCTCAAATTAATAAAACAATCAGTTGTATAAACTGTATTATTATCCCCATAGTTATTAGGGTTATTAGAGAGGTTATATACCTTAACAAGTAAAATTTGGGGCCACAAGCCTCTGCCACTGTTATTTTGTGGGTTAGAAGCTGAAAAGTTTGGAAACCACTGCAAAACAACTAAAAGATTGCAAGATGTCCGAGTGCTTGGAAGCAATGGAAAAATAAGTTCGGAGTGGTTTAAAACTTTTGCACAGTGCTGTATATAATCATTCCAATAAAATGAAAGAACACTATTTTAGGTATACAAGTTTCTACCCAACTTTATTTAAAAAACATATAACAATGAAGTTAAGCAATTTTATTAGTCTCATTTGTGACACTGTTATTTCCAAGCAATGTGTGTTGCTGCCGTCTTCTACTTTATAGTACCGTCCTTTTACATGAGGTGGAAAATTAAAAATAATGAGGGATCTTTCCACCTATAAGCTCATCATACTGTATGCATGATATCAGAAATTGTTTATATGCAAAATAAAACTTATATTCATGAAGGGTGTTGGTTTAGCTCTGTTGTTGTTTCATATTTCATGCAAAACTATTTTTTTTTCTTTTTATCAGTTCTGATATACTTTGATTTTGGAAGTGTTTTGGATATTATTATGGTGTCCCTGAAGTTTAAACAACATGCAACTACATTTGAAAAAAAAACAAAACACAACATTTGAAGAAAAGCAATTGCATTGGGGAAACTGAAAGAGGTGAGAACGGTGGGAGGTGGGACCAGTGGGACATTGCTGATTGAACGACAGGACGTTTGGCTTTTGAACCGCAAGTTGTTCTGCCTGCTGTGTGTTTTTGTAAACCATAGCTCAGTGTGGACAGGAGAGAAGACAATCGCACCACTATGTATTTCCAAAACTGTGGAAAATAGCTGCTTGAGCAGTCATCAAACTTTTGTAGCGGCTGTAGCAAAACAAGTTTTCTTAAGTTCACTGTCCTGACTACTTTTCTGTTTAACTTGAACTAGCAGTCTTAGATCAGACCTGGAAACAATTCAGTATCATATCCCAGTCTGGTTGACATTTTAAACACTTTGAGCCCCACAAAGTTATAATCTCAATGCATTTAATTTAAAAGTTGTGGGGATTTAAAGAAGAAGTTTTTTTTTGTAGTTTTTTTTTAATTAAGCTGTTTTCAATCCCAATTTTTGTTGTCTGAACCCAAGCTAAATCAGCTTTCTTAACCACATTTAGGTTAGTACATAATATGAAACAAAGGACTTACTGTATTCTTATCAAACATCTGCCACTGTAATATAATGAAGGATTATTATTGTGCATGGTCATGCCTACTAAGCGCTTAAGGCAAACCCTCATTTACTGTCCATTGTATTTGATTATTTAAAAAAAAGTATACTAATGTGCTGATGTGCAGTATATTGAGACTGTATACTGTATAAAAACAAAGTCCATGCTCAATAATCCAGGTATAGAATCCAACATTTTTCAGTCAGGTCATCTGGACAGTTTCTTTTTTGTTGTTGTTGTGCTGAAACGTTTCACCTTCCATCCAGAAGGCTTCATCAGTCAAGGAAACACACAACACAAAACTGATTCTTCTCCCAACACCTTACTCCAAAGTGGAACAAACCAGTTATGTCAGTGCTAAGTTGGTGTCTATGGAAGGTGAAACGTTTCAGCACAAAAAAAATAAAATAAAGAAACTGTCCAGATGACCTGACTGAAAAATGTTGGATTGTATACCTGAATTATTGAGCATGGGCTTTGTTGGTTTTGAACCAGTTTGACATGACTGTCGACGAGGAAGAGGGCCTGCACCGGAGGAGGCGTGCCAAAGGGACCATCTTAGCACCAACATAACTGGTTTGTTCCACTTTGGAGTAAGCTGTTGGGGGAGGAATCAGTTTTGTGTTGTGTGTTTCCTTGACTGATGAAGCCTTCTGGATGGAAGGTGAAACGTTTCAACACACACACACAAAAAATAAATTGTCCAGATGACATGACTGAAGATTAATGGATTATATACTGTACTAAAGTATACTGTATACTAAAGTAATGTCCTAATGTATACTAAAATTTTATTCTAAAGTATACTGTATACTAAAGTACCGATAATGTCCTGATGTATACTAAAACTGTATACTAAAGTATACTGTATACTAAAGTACAAGTAATGTCTTGATGTATACTAATGTTTGTTTGCTATTCTTCAACTCTAATTTTTCAAAGTTAAAAATCTTTCTACAGAACTACTCCAAGGGTTTCAACAAAAATGATCGTCATTAGCTGTAAAATCTACCAACACACGTGTTATTTTTGTGTATTTTATTTTATTAACCATCAAGAAGGCTGTTGGTTTTTCCCTGCATCAAAATGATCAGGGTCAGTTTCTATATAGGCACCAGTGTCCTTTGTCAAGGACTCTATGTATAGGCTGCTATATTTCAAGGCGTGGATGTGTGTCTTTGCACTGGCAACCCAGTCAGAGTGCAGAGAAAAGCAACAGGCAGCACCGAGGAGAATAACTCAGTGGTGCATTTTGAAATCCACTCATCTTACATAACGAACACTGACCATCATCCTCTAAGTAAGAGCTGAAAGAGCTCCCAGTGGACTACCCCTCCCCCCTTCTCTATTCATTTAATCCTAAAAGCTGTGTGAGCTTGGAAAAAGTGAAGGGGTGGATGATGAGCAAATGTAAAAATCCCAGGGATTTACTCTGCCCCTGTGTTATACAGTAATCTGCTGGGCCCTTTTTTTTTTTTTAGTCCAGGACGTACAATAAACAGAAAAAGGCATGTGCCATATGATCATAGAACTGATTTATAATTGACTCAATACCCAACGCCTCTAAATTTATTTTAAAATTTGCAAGATGTCCAAAGTTCATGCATCTACTACTTGACGTATTGTTCCAATGACAAAATGAGAGGTGGATTTATTGCTGTTTATATCTCTCTGTTAATCCCAAATATGGACGGGACCTATATGACGTCATCTATTGGACTTTGGTCTGGTATTTTGTAACCTTGAAGATGAAACTATGCCATCGCCATGACTATGGAGCCCCAAGTGACTGTTTGGAGAGGATCAGTGGTGTTGAAGAGTGATACTTCAAAGTTCAGTGAACAAACGTATCTGTGACAACGAAGACTTGTTTTCAAAAGGACCACCTGCAGATTGAATAAAAGTGGGAATAAAGTTTTAACCCTTGTATCAGCTTTTGGAGAAAATTCATCCACAGATTTAGTTTTGTCCGTTTTTATTTATTTATTTTGGTGGAGTCACTAAACATGATTTTTTTCTGACAAAGCCTAAAAATCCTATCTTTATTTATTTATTTTTAATTTCCAATTGCTCTCATAACCTCAGAGTAACTACTACACACTCATGATCCTTAGGAGAAAAATTGGCCACATTACAATGTACATACAACTTTTAATCCCATATTCTTCTTCTGCTTCTTCTTCTTCTTCCAGCTATTTCCTTCTTCAGGGGTTGCCACAGCAAACTAACTCATACGAAGACTTGGCAATTGCTTTTACAGTGGATGCCCTTCCTGACACAACCACAGACAGAGCTACCACATCTCTCTGTGTGGAGCAGAGAGCTGTCATCTAGGGTGCCCAGGGGAGCAGATTGTGGGGGTTGAGGGCCTTTCTCAAGGGCCAAGAATAGGGCAAAAGAGGGTGCAGACACATGTGACAGGCACAGGTAAGGAGCTGGTTAACATGATGCAGAGAAGGAAGGTAGATGTTTTGTGTGTCCAAAAGACCAACTGGAAAGCTCACTGCATTGGAGCAGGGTTTAAACCGTTTTATCATGGTGTGGATTGAAAGAGAAATGTAGTAGGGGCGATCCTGAAAGAGGAGTTGGCAAAGAATATAGTAGAGGTGAAAGGAGTGTCAGATAGGGTGATGCCCCTGAAGGTGGAAGTAAAAGGTCTGATGCTAAACATTGTCAGTGGTTATGCTCCACAGGTTGGATGTGATGTAGAGGAGAAAGAGAATTTTTTGAAGGATCTGGATGAAGTGATAAGAAGATAGAACTTTATTGATTAATAATCATAATCATAATCATAATCCCGTGCAAGGAATTGCATGGGATATTAAAAAAAATAACAGAGAACATACAAAAATACCAGCAATTAAGATTTAAACAGGT